GTTAATAATAAGCTCAATAAGAAAAAGGTGGTATGGAAAGTTAACATCTTCAGTATCTTCGGAGGCAAGTGCTTCTTTTGTTTTCGTAATATCTTCGCTTAAACTTTTTATAGATTCTCTTAATGCATTGGCTTCATTTGTTAATTTCTTTGTCATGTTAGCTATTTTATCTATGTTGTTTATAACTGGAACCGAGCCGCGAGTCGGACTTAAATATTCTATAGATGCTTCTTTTTCAAGTTCCCCACTTAGATTACTTGGAATAACGGTTAACTTGCCTCCCACAGGAGATTTAAGGCTTATGCTTTTAGGGCTTTGTGGACTTGGTGTTCTGTTTTTACGTTTTCCATCACTTTTAATTGATGCCCGTGGAGTACCTCTATTTGATGGTATCGGACTTGATGGCTTCTGAGTATTTAAAGGAGATAGGGATGGCATGTCTGGAAAAGCTAACGTTTCATCTTCAGCCACCAATGTCACAGGATTTTCTGAATGTATTATTGATTTGTTCTGCGACTTGATACTTTCTTCGTGAGATTTAGGTTCTTGTAAACTAATTTGGTCCATGTTAGTGTATGCTCAGATAATAACATAATTTGGAAAATTTAAACATAAAATTTTGATGACAGGTTCAGCTATTAAAAATGGCCATGGCCTAATAGATTAAAATTACTTGAAATTTTAAATATGTATACGTTTTTTTTGGGTTACAGATAACAAGAATCTTACAATTAAATATAAAGTATTATACAATGTGTCAGAGGCAATATGAACATGAATGATTTAATAGACCCTTACTACTACAAATAAAGAAAATAGTTTAAAGCCAATAATATGGTAATTTTTATTTATTTTACTGCTACAAAGAATATGCAGAAAATATAAAATGGTTTAGTTTTGAATTTAAGATAATACAAGTACTCTGTGTCTACATCAAATTCCCAGAAGATGGTTATTGTAGGAGAGGTATATGTTAACTGGATATGATTATTGTAATTTTAGTAAAAATTGCACCATTTACCATTTTGTATTTGTGCCACTTTCTTAGCAATTTCTCTGACAATTTGGAGTCTCCACTTCTCGGCTTGTGGTAGATCATTACATTCCGATGCTAAGTAAGGCCGCCGCTCACGCTGTCCTCCAGCTTCTTGAACTTGGGCTGCTCTCCAGCGAGCCAAAGTAGTCCTAAATAAATTAGATTATAAGATATACTAACCAATTACTTAAACTTGTAAAATCTCACTGAACCTTCAAATTTTTGTAAGTTGTGGTTGAAGGTTGGGTGACGTTTTACAACTTTTATACTTCCTTTCCTTGATTTCCAAAAATACTCATAGATGTAATATGAAGTGTTAATGTTGATAATTAATTTTTAAGTTCTCCAGAGGTTGAGTATACTTACATAGCCTTTTCAGCATTTCGAGCCTGCAAACAAAACAAATATAAAATATTTTAGAAATAATTTCTTGAGAAATATCTTGAAATTTTGAACGATCATTAATATATGATACCTTAAAAAGAAAATTACAAAAATAATATTTATTATTACGCAAATCACAATTATAATTTTTTGATGATTTACTTTTGTTTCCATAAGCAAATGTAAAGTTACTGTAAAGATCCAAATAAAAAACCAATATAAATAATATAACCTGCAAAGAACTTAATTAAATTAATATTCAATGCTACTTTCTAAGATATACTCACCATTGTCAGTTATTTTATATATTCAATCCAATTTCCTGAGTTATTGATATTATTCTTTTTTTAATAAATAATAAGATTAAAATATTTAACTATTTATTTTTGCAAAGTGCAAACAATATAACTGCTATTTGCACAGATGACAGAATACTCAATACAGATATCCTTTATCCATAGATCACTAGACTAGAACTAATATTAATTTTTACCACAGATATGAATACTAGACCACTGGTTGTTACAGATCACCTTTTTTGTTAACAGTGTTTGGTTGTATTTGACGGCACAGACTAAGAAGTCTGAAGACTGGCTGTCGACTGAGTGGCTCAGCCTAGTCCATATACTAAAGACTAGCTGTGTACGTGCAGTAAGCACTTAGAACAGAGATTAATAAGTATCTATTAAATAACTGCAATGCCCACTTCCCAATTTCCATTAGTCAATAGCGTCGTAGCAGTTTTTATGAAATTGTTCACAGGCAACTAAATTCTACATGTAGGCATTGCGTACCTAAGGTCAAGATGCTTTAACAGTAGTGTATATAGAAAGTCAAAAACTAAATTTGTATGAAAATTTGTCGACGAACAAATTGTTGACTAAGCCTCCTGGGGCCTTAGTCAAGATGCCTAAACAGTAGTGTATGTAGAAAGTCGAAAACTTAATTTGTATGGAAATGACAGTTCGTGTCGAAAAGTTTTCATACAAATTTAGTTTTTGACGTTCTACATACACTACTGTTAAGGCATCTTGACTAAGGCCCCTGGACAGCAACTACTAATAGAACACGTATCGCCGATACAACGTGCAAAATACATAACGCAGCCGCTGCCGATATCTACAGTCCTTTGTTTTCGCAAAACTTTTGTTTAGATTTAAGTATTACTTTAAGGAATCAATCTTAGTATAATAATTACTGATCATTCTAGACTCCACGATCCTCCTTTGAGATCGGTAATTTCCCTTTTCCACAATTTCATCTCATAGCAGTGGTCACACTTCACTTTAACTAATCACATTTTCCATCCAGCCTTATCTGTAAAGGTTAGTGTAGTATGAGATTAGATATGTCTGTGGTGACAATCTGAGGTTGTTTTGAATTATTCAATGAAAAAAAAAATTAAACATGTGATTAATTTTTGTACAACCCCGACTGGGTATTAACCAAGACCAATTATTTTATATGATATTTTATTGATAAACTTTTAATTTGGTTTGGAGAAATGACCAGAAACTGTGATTATGAATTAAGTTGGGAGAGCTGTCCTGTGGATATCATGTTAATTATCTTTAAAACATTGAGTATAAAAGATATTAATAGTTGTTTTCAAGTTAATAAGACATGGAGGAATGTAGTTACATATTATTGCGATGTGAGTAATGTAGACGATCCTGTAACCGATAACTCCTTTCATTAACTATACACATACCACTTAAGAGTTATGTTGTATGTTTAGTTTTTACCATGTTAATGAGATTATTAATGCTAGTTGTACGGCTCTCATTACTTTTCCTATTGTTATTTCAGCGATATAATCTCTGGCAGATGTTAGTTCAAGAAACAATCTTTAATAGAGGAACTACTGTAATGGATCATACATATTCTAGTGGAGGAAACAAGGAGATTTATTTGAACTCAATCTTATGGCATGATCTATCTTTGGCTAAATGTGGAATAAGTTATGTTGATGCAGTAAATGCTAGGCAAATACATGTTGATAGTGGTAATTCTAAAGTACATCTGTATGTATTAATGTCTCTTAATGCATTTCTGTTGCTTTTAATAAGTATTATCTTTCCTTTCAGATTGCTTGACTGTAGTATTTCATGACAAAGTTATAGTTTATAATGTCAATAATTTAATTCCTTTAGAAAAAATACCAAAGAACTGTAAGTACATATTACATGTTATTAAAAAATTTACGTCTGCTGGTAATTACAGCTTACTTGAAACGAATCCAGAAATATTAAATACATTTACGCTACCTCAAGGCTACTTTTAAAGACTCCTCAAATTATATATTGTTTTCTTTTACACAAAAATGATTTTCTCATTTGGATTAGTTTTTAGATGAAGACTTTCAGTGTAAAGGGGACTTAATAGTAAATGTAGTAAGACAGTCATTAGGAAAATACATATTGAGTATAAACAATAACTGCAACTGTAAGAATAAAGATGTATCTTTTCACATACCAAGCCCACATCTGTAAGTAGCTTTATGTGTTTTTACACCATATCTCATTAAAGATAGGTTAACAATATAAATTCACCCCTTTTACCATCATTTCAATTTCTTATGCTATAACATCCCAGGATTTGATCTGTAAAAATTACTATGAGTTGCAAGGAAGTAATCATAAATTTTAAACAATGATTATCAATGTAACATAACAAAACTGTAATGGCAATTTTATTGCTTTGTGGTTAGATTTATTTTACATTTTAAAACTCAATGTTTAATTAGAACCCTACTCGTAGCTTATCTTGTATATCACACAATATTCATTACACATAGAAACATTTATTGCTTGTCTAAGTGATGGTGGATATGTTAACGTAAAATTGTAAATACCGTTAGATTGTAATCTATCTCGCGAGATTATAAACTGTCGAAAGATTGTTAACTCAACGTACTGCTTACAATTTAACGTATGATTATTCGGTAGATTATAATCTATCGAAGTGAAATCGTCAAACTGTGAACCGGTACGCACCTCGCGCGCTGATTGGTCGGCTTTATAGTAGACCGCTAGATGTCCATAGAGTTAGGAATGAAACAAGGGTATCAGTCAAATAAAATAAATGCACTTCAAAAATTAGTATTTATTACTTAGTAGGTAATCAATAATTCTGACATCACATGATGAAAAAAATATATCAAAGTAAAAAAAAATCGGAAACGTATAAATATTTTCTCTTCAAACACAAATTAAAATTGAAAAATTAATGAAATTTTCTTTTAGAAAAAAACGATCACAAAATAAAATCAAAATTAAAAAAAAAAAACAAATCGAAAACATATGAACGTTTTTGAAAACATAACAAAATTGTCTATTATATAAAAAATAAGAAAGTAAATTGCACCAATAAAAATGTTCAATTATTGTTGCACGTCAACGAGTTGTGGCACCTGGAGTTACAAAGAACATTAGCTTTCTTGCAATTACACTTCTTCGAAACGCATTGTCCATTTTTTATTTTTTTTGCAATTACAATTTTTACTATTTTCATTATGCCCGCTGTAATAGTTTTGTAACTCTATGGTAAATTCTTCCTGATTAACAATACCAAATATTTCTGAGTTTTGTTGATCGACAGGCTCAATATCCGCAATTGTAAATACGAGATCACAAAGGTTCACGCGAATAAAAAATATTAAAACACGGAAAATGTATGTAATTTAGACTATGTTTGGAGACCAACACTAACTTAATTATCATTCAAACTGCACTTCTTTGGTCAATCACAGATTAATTTTACTTCCACAACAATTTCATATAACTTTTCACGTTCACTTTCAACATCCTAAAGCTGTGAGTTACTTTCAACACGACATCAATTTACATTCACCAAAACACCGTTTGTTTACATTCGACAACAAACGAATTAACAAACAAATATGGTGGCGCGTGGCATATTCCGTTCAACCAATCAGCGCGCGAGGTGCGTACCGTTTCACAATTTGACGATTTCACTTCGATAGATTATAATCTACCGAATAATAATACGTTAAATTGTAAGCAGTACGTTAAGTTCACAATCTTTCGACAGTTTACAATCTCGCGAGATAGATTACAATCTAACGGTGTTTACAATTTTACGTTGACAGATATACTGATATAAAAATGCATTTCCTGTTCATTTCAAAATGTACACAAGACTTTAGAGGCATTACATTATTCAAAGTAAACTGGAATTGCAACTATAAAGTTTTGTAGTATACTTTGTAGGCTTGTAAATATTTTTTTTATAGATTTTACTTTTGGTACAGGCATATTTTAAACAAAAAAACAACACATGATTCTTTTATTGCAGTTGGAGTATGAATAAGACATCCTGCTACTTTCTGGACACCGACTACACAATTTGGAAATATATATTTGGAGATTGTGATAATCATTGCCACTTTATAGCAAAATATTATGGAAACAGGAGTTCTGTTCAGGGACTTTTTATGGAAAATAATACTGTACTAATGGCCTTAAACAATGGCAAAATTTACCTATATTTGGAAGTAGATGGACAAGTGTTACAAAAATACTTTTGGGGTCAAATTGATTTCCAATTACACTGGCTAGATACAAGCATCGCAATTTATGGATGTAAGTTATGTAATTGTCAGGGCCTAATGCCATTTAAATTAATCATTAAATTATTGGAAGCATTCTTAGGTTAATGAAAATAACCCTAATACAACTCAAAACCATTTTCTTTCAATTAGCATGATTGAAACCAGATGTAGTGCCTTTTTTAATACTTTGTAAACTTTATACATACATTAATTAATTTTTATTATAATTTTGAGGTCCATCCAATGTGCAATTATCAGAGACATCTAATTCATTAATTTTTTCAAATATATCAACTGCTACCCGCCATGGAAATATAATACTGCTTGGTTACAACAATGGACTTGTAAGTAAAATTTATTATTCGCAATTATCGCTAACCTAACCAACAAGACCAATATGCTAATTTAAAAACAGTTCCAAAAAATAAGTGTTAAAAGAATGACCCAAGATAAGAGTTTATTTTGATTCTGATTAAATTTGTTTTTTTTGTGGGTCCATTTTGTTAATATGAGGATTTTTTTATTCACATTAAAAATTACATTCAACTATAATAATATCAGTTTATTATATATGTAGATTTTTAACTGTATCCTGCTTTGTTTCAGTTAGAGGTGTACGATTCAAGTAAAATTTATTTTAAAAAACCACTACAACAGTTTCTTCTGCGTTTCAACGATACACAGATGCCAGTTCGTAAAATAGTGGTGCATGAAGGCTATCGCACACATACTATTTTTGCTTTAGTCGGCAACAAGATTTCCAAAATTCATCTCACACATGAAGCAGAATTTTATTTTTTTTAAGTTATGCAAGTGAACATAGATATGCTTATTGCAAATACAAAGTCAATTTTTTTTGTAATATATGAAGTTTTATTATTTTACTTGTTTTTATTATGGCAACACTTTACCAACATAGAATTACTTTCTATAGCATTCCTCTAACATATTTTGTTGGACTTAGCTTATACAGTGAAAAAGGTCACAATTTTATTGTGAAATAAAAAAAACAAATATAACTACTTTGATAAGTGGTGGGCAACTTCAACTTTGCACACATATTTTTAGGAAGTAAAAACTGTTCCAGATCTATATCTAGCCAATAGTAACTATTGGGCTTGAAATATAATTCGTAAAAGGGAAACAAGAGCTACAAAATATCTGCTTAACTACACTTTGATATGATAAATTGAGTAACTTATTTTTATTTATCCTATAAGTGAATATTTGACTTAGTATTCGAAATTGTACTTATCTAATGTCATAAAACTGCCTTATTATTTATTACAGTTTTTATAATTTTATTATATAGATTTCGTGTTAACACTAATGATAAGTAATGGCAATAATTGAGATGAACGAAGCTAGTAAAACAAAGTCAACAAATGCAGAAATATTCAATTTGCTTAATTTAAAAAAAATGAATGAGTTGCTTTGGCTCTATATAAGTCAAAGGCATGAGGTAGACACATTTCTGCATCTGTTCGGCTGACTGACTGACTTTTCAATCAAAAACAGTTGTAAGATATGCAACAGCATTGCCTCCAGTTATTTTATCAAAAATTTAGACTTATACTTTTACACTAATTTAAAATTTTAAAATTAAAATAACCCTTTAAAAATAATGTTTATCTCTTATAGTTGCCAGTCTCATAGAAAAAAATGTTTTTTTTTTATACTATATATATATATGACCTCTAATGTCACTTTGACAGCTGTCATTTAATCAACCAACTGGTAAAATATTTATTAATTACATTTTTAAATAAAGTGTATTGTTCATAAATTTACGTTAAGCTTAAAACAGTTTTTAAATGTTTTATCTCATATATATATTCGGAAAGTGACAAAAGAATGGTAAAGACAAAAATAGTCGAGAATTGGACGTACTATTTCCGTTGTGTTATAATACTGACATTCATCTTAAAACATAACAGTCAGAAATAACAATTATCTCATAAAAGGTAATTTGATATCAACATAGCAAGAATTAAAAATACGTTCAGCTTAAAAGCACTATACTCTCATACATTTTGTAAACGACCATAACATTCACTCATACGGACTACATTATCACAGCCGCTAAGCAAAATAAGTACTTATCACAAATTAAAAAAAAAACAAGCTCTATATTGTCTTTGACAAAGTATTAAACGAGGAAAATCCAGCAAGAACATTACGCCACAGATTTCCGTATGTTAACATAATAATTTATTAGGCCGTATGTGATTTACTTTAATAATACAGTCAATAAATTTACTTGAAGTAAAAATAGTTCAATGAGTAGGACGAACATTAAACGACATCATTAACGCTATTGTAAAATACGTCTATATTAATTTCTTGTATGAAATACTGCTTATTCTAGACATCAGTCAAACTTAAATCTAGTTTCATGAACTGTCAAAGTTTGACATTTTAGACGAGATTGTGACTTGAGATAGGATTCACGCGTCATAGTGGTTACGTCGTCTTGATTAATTGAAATAAACATATGGGCATAACAAAAAAAATATACAACAGCAAGAGTTTGTGAGAGATCGCTCACTTTATCAAAAACACGGGAGAGCTATAAGTTTCATGTATATTAGTAGTTAACAAAAATAAAATAACTTGTTTTTATTCTAATACAAGTAATATGTAGCGATTACAAACTATTTAATAATTTAATCGGAGCCATAAACCTAGGAAGGAATTATGACACGTCGGCTGTCCGTTAAACTGTAGTCAATTTTGTATTCCTGGCGTTCAACAACTTTTTGTAAGGCTAGGAGGTCGGCAATGTTGTTGCCCTTCTCGTCGTATAAAGCGACTGTTATACTATCGTAATCAGTGGCGCTGTAAAAACAAGAATAGCTTCTATCAACAAAAAATTCACTGAATTTAAACCATACCATTTCTTTGAATCTGTTCCGTAATTTCAGAATACTTTTTGCTTACGGTGAAGTTAAAATATTATTATTAGACGCAACGCTTTATTAGGCGTGTTTGATTTTAATTCTGGCTGCAAGACTGAACAAAATTGGTACGTAATGTATATGTCGCAGTAAAGTATTTAAATCAGAGAGTTAATTGAATCTAGTTAATTGAATCTAGTTAAATGATAGTTCCTTTTTGTATGCCTTGTTTCGCCCATACAATTTTTGTGTCAGAAACATAAAATAAAAAATATTTTTTTTATCAAATATCTTGGTCACCCTACCAAAGTTGAAATGCGTCTTGTGGTCTAGGAACGTTTAGGAAACTCGTTAAACGTTTCGTTCAGTCACTTGTCTGACGGAACTTTAGCGACTTGATTGAATATCAATCTATAATTTACTGTCTAGAGATTCAATTAACACTCTGATTTAACTACTTTACTGCGACATATATAGCAAAGTGGATCGTTTTTATTAGTGAGGTACTAATGACGTACATAAAAAATAAGACGAAAAACAAAAGTTATAGATGCCTAACATTATCCCCTAAAACAGATGCACAGATAAAAAAGGTGGACTTTAAAGACAAATATGGAAACAACCAAGGGGAAGAGGGCGCCCTGAAAAAAGTGGATAGAAACAAATGGCGAAAGAAAGACATGGATAGAAATATGTGGAAAAAGCTGGAGGACGCCGTTACCCGTGAAGGGTACACAATATTTTTTAGGCTGCTGCCTCGAATTTTGCGGGCAGCGGGGCGGCAGCGGCGGCGGCGCGCGGACAGTCCAGGCTAAATAATGTTGCTATATTCGACTTTTTTTTAAATTAAAATGTACCCACATTTATTTTAATTTTTGTAACTACCCTTTATCTACAATAATACTCACATGACTTCTGCATCGAACCTCTTGTCCTGTATTAGATCGATGAGGGCATTTCGTGCAGCTATGAGATTGGTGGCCGCCTGATTTCTCATAGTAACGCCAGCCAAAATACATAGCATAGCCTGAGTTGGCAAAACGCAAAATCGGGAATGAAGTTCGCGCAATAATTCTTCGTCCACCCATATTACGTTTCCGTAGTCCACGTATTTTATCTAAAATTAAGGAATTTATTTAGAAAATGTATATCGACGAATAATTGTGCATGTGCATATTAATGAAATATAAAACAATTTGATCTTGAAGCATTTTAGTTTTGTCTGTCCAATAAAGAGCAGTGTTGGCCTAGTAGCTGAGGTCGTAGGTTCGATCCCCGGCTGTGCACCAATAGACTTTCTTTCTATGTGGGCATTTAAAATTAGCTGTGAAGGAAAACATCGTGAGGAAACCGGCTCGCCTTAGTCAACTCGACAATGTTGACGGCGTGTGTCAGGCACAGGAGGCTGATCACCTACTTGCCTATTAGATTGGCAAATGATCATGAAACAGATACAAACATCTGCCCAGACCTTCCAAACAGGATGTAGCGCCACTGATTTATTTTTGATCTGTCCATAAAAAATAATGTTAGCAGTACGGTAAACAAGTATTGATACAGGTTAGGTTATTATATGATATTAACTAAAACAATTTATTTTACCTAAAACCATTAACATAATAATTGTTCTTGATTTAAATAAAAACCACTTCACACAATTGTTTTTATTTGGCAACCGCCAAGCAATTTCTATAATCATTCAAATTGATTTTGATTTAAGATTTAAGTTTAGTTAGTGCTTTGCTATAAATAGGTTCTGAATATCTCACCTCGACTTTTCGATCAGCTTTAGTAGAAGTAAGAACCTTCGCGCGGTACCATTTTCCATCCATGGGATATAAAGACGCTACCAACTCTCCCGGGGCTGGTATCATCTAAAATAATAATATATTACATTGTCATTAATGGAAAAATAGCTCAATATGTCATCGAAATAACCATTTCTATCAACTTTTTAAACAGAAAAGATCATTTATCTTCTGTCATATAAAAATACGAGTATTTGCAATGAATATTTGTTTATATAGCCTACTAAACACGCTATCGGGCATATCCGTGTCCGAGGAGCTGAAGCAGGGAGTCTGTTCTCCCCTTGCCTAGAAATTGATTTTAATAAGTTCAACTATGTCTGGTGGGGTGGTTTGGCGTCTCCCACCGGGCCTCGGTGATGATTACTCCGGTTATATTTCATATACTGGTTGGACTCGCATCACCACATGTGCATGTTGATCTTACTGACATATTTGATAATTCTGAGGCAAAATTTTTTTCAGCTGCAATCTGTGCTCGAGTCATGTCTGTCCCATGGATGTCCCCGGGATGGGTATACCGGGGTATCCATATCATGCCAGTATCGAGTTTAGCAATGAATATAGTGGTATTCGGGTATAACCCTGATTTCGTCGTTATAAGACGGACCACGTTTTGAGTAGGAGTTGCTAGTCAGAATATCACCTTTGCCTAGCTACTTGCCAATATACAGGTTGGCCAAAAAGTCGTGAATCAAATGCAAATAGGGGATAGATGAGGTCATTAGCTGCAAAAAAGTTCTATGGGAGGTCTCTGAGCTTAACCCCTGCAGAGTTATAATTTATTTTGCGTTTTTATAAAAAATTGCCTTTTTTTACTAATTTTTATTAAAATTCGAAAATATCTACATCCTGTATCTTTTTCATAATACCCACTAGATTGGTGCTGATGAGTTCTTGCGTTAGACATACTATTTATAGTTGTTTATTGAGTGTATTCAGTATTGAAGATAATATTATATTAAGTTATACGATATAAAAAAAATTCCCCCTCCGAAAAGTGGCCCTTAAAGGTTTTTTCAAATCATAATTTTTTGATAGTTTATAGTAAAAATAAACCATTAAGATGTTGTGGCCGGAGTCGGATTTATAGGAATTTGTTATAAATTATTCATTAAAAACAGTCGCTATACCCAAAGTCAGCCATTTTTACCATAGCATTTTAAATATTTTTGCTAAATTCACGCTAGTCGGCCTTGTAGCTTCAGCGTGCCATATTCAGACCAGGTCTTAGGTACGAACCCCGACTGTGCACTCGGTCTTTCTATGAGCATTTAACACTCGCTCGTAAAACATCGTGTGGAAATTGGCATGTCCTAAAACTAAAAAGTTAACGGCATATACGACCTACTTGATTAAAGAAAAAAAAAATATCACGAAACACACAGAAATCTAAGCTTGCAGCGACACTGGTTATTACTAAAATTTAAAAATAAAATTATTCAAGAATATTACCTTAAGTGGTCTATATGAGGATATGGTAGCTGCACAGTTCATATCCTGTACAAGAGCTGACAAAGAAGTCAGCGGTTGGAACTCTTTCTCCGTTATATCTAAAATACATAGAAAAATGTCACCTATAAGTAACGTATGGAACGAATTATTACTACCTGCAAAACATATTGTTAGCTTTTAATATTTATTTAATTAAATTCTAAACAATTTTATGAAACATACTCTTAAGAATTCTTAAGATTTGACTCGTTCGGTTGATGACGAATTGACGTCGAACGAAGTGGGATGATCGAGTCGGAGCAGGCAATAGATTTTAAAACAAGTTGTGGCACATGCGCGCGAGCATTCCTTTGTTTAACGTTAAACTTTTTCAGTTTATGTAAAGTCAGTGAAGTGAAAGAAGTGAATTATAGTGAATCAAGTCATTATTGGAGAGTTTAATTTCCTACCCTAAGAACTACACAGATCAACTAGTTCTTTTAATATACACTGTAGAGTTTAAATATTGTTGTATGATATATAATAGTAGTAACTGTAAAATAATTAAATGAGAGACTGTGCGCTGCGAATGGAGCCCTGGAATTTTAACAGAGGGCTTGCAAGTCCGTTGCCTGCCTATTAGTTTACCAACTCAAGTAACCGGCCGAGTTGAGATGTTTCTTTTTTGGCATGAAAACCTTATTTTTTTTATAGGCCAACGAGTTATCTTATAAGCCATTTCAAATCCTTTGAATAACACAAGAAAAATCTGACATACAGACCACATCATACACAACGCGAATCTACATATAATATAAGAATTGACCAATTCATATGACTAATAATGTAAATTTAAAATTCATTTAAAGACAAATTTGCGCGCCATGGTATGTGGCAGAATATGCGAACTTACGATTGTACCACCTTACACATTTTTGTACCATATTCTTGCAATAAATTATTATTATTATAGGCTACCCAAAAAACGCAACCAACTACCCAACGCTTTTTCCTTCGAATTACACATTCATTCACTAACAATCTTAAACATCTTCTCAACCGTCCTATGCTGGAATGGAAAATATTCTTCTTGTGCAACACAAGTTTAATTATAAAATGTAAATGTTATTTAGAAATTATTATGTCAAGTACCGTTAATATGTCAAATGGAAGAGACTAGCAGCCCACGAGACATGGCATCCTAGTGCACTTTAAAAAAACTAAACCCTTTTTGTAGTTTCTTTTTTCTTTCTAGTACACGCATACGTTACGAAAAGCTTAATTGTCAAGTAGATCGTCAATTTAAGTTATTGATATAATAATTTTTACCTTTGGTGTCGTTTATCATTTGTACGAAGAAATGATCAAAATGCGGGACATGGGATACGACCACTCGTACAAAGCTTCCAGCAGCGGGCAGCGGCAAAGACTTTAGATTGGCCGGTACGAACACACGGTCCAACGTCCAGCCATCTGTATAAAAATCCATAAGAATATTTTAGCAGAATATGCATTTATTTTAAAAAGGTACGCATTGATACACAAAGACACAACAACATACAAAAAACTCAATGCATGAGTTATGTAACCTAAGTTAAGTTACATATATATATTTTAGTTACTAATTAGAAGCGCAAACCATCGCACACTTGAAGCCAAAATGAGCCCTTTAGTTTTTCCCACACTCATAAATTCTCGTTTCCGATAATGTCCAATAGGCCGAATTCAGTTATTATAAAGTGTTCCTTAGATTTAAGAACCCTTAACTAAGCCAAGATAGTTTTTTGTTAGCGTTGCAACTCCACTACCCCAAATTTTTTGTTATTTATTCATGTTTTATACGATTAAAGACAGTTGACACCCAGCTCCAAACAAAGTTTAATTTAACATATATTTGAACATCCTGAAACAACCACCACCAAACTTAACTTGTGTATTGTGTTTTTAGTATGTTCATCAAGAAGACATTACAATTATAAAAGAGAAAGAAAATAAAACAATAAAAACGGATGACAGATAAACTAGATTAAGAAATACAAATATTAAATCAATATACAAATTAAATATTTAATTTATTTCTTCTTTATTTTATATTGTTGAATATTGCAACACTTCGTGTCTATAGGTTATATGTATATAATCAAATCTGTCAGTGTTTCGCTGAAAACGTATCTAAACTCCGAATAATGTAATTAAAGAAGTTTTATTTATATCATTTTAACCATGCTTATGTGGCATAGACACGACACATTTTTGCATGTTTGAACATAATTTTTTGGTAAATGCATATCAGTAATCTATTGTCTACTGAATTTAACGAGTGCAAAAATTATCGATACTTAAATACCTACTAATAAATCAAAAACAATTTTATTTATGATAATGCAGGGGCCATAAAATATAGCTGTAACAGCCCTTGGACACCCAGGGTGCGTTGCCGGCCTTTAGGAGAGTACTATATATGTACCATAAAATAATATTTAATGTAACCATTAAGAAATATACTGTTTTCTTGTAGATCGTATTTCCAACTTATGTCTTCATTTTTCATAGTTCGAGGTAACTTTTCAAGAGCTGTCAATATCAATTGACAGCTGAATTTTGACAGATTTATGTTTGATTGTCATTTTAGAATGACAAAAAAATCAGTGTAAGTCACGGTTGATCACCTGTTTGCCTATTAAAAAAATGAATACAGCTACAGAAGTCTTTAGAAGTTTAGACCAAGGGTTGTAGCGCTACTAGATTTTTGCATTTAAGAATACTATAATATTTCAAGGGTTAATGACCTGGGTGTTTGACAACGTGTTTCTTTGTGCACCGTTTCCCCTTGAAGCATGTCTTTTCAGGGCCTCCCTTGTAGTGCTTGCAAATGTCCGCTTCATCTCGGTTATGGTAACCCTTTAATAAACAAAAATGAGTTACGCATTACCGCAGTTGGTTTAAGAAAGTAATGATTTATTTATAAAAATTAAAATACAAAAATATAGAACGGTATATAAATTAACTTACTGAGCAAAACATGGATGTTTTAAAGATTATTACAACAATTTTTATTTTATTATACAACCTTTTAGCAACAAAAGCTTTTAATGAATTTTTCTGATTATAAAGCCAAAACGAGAGCGATCAAAAATAAATTATTACCATTTAAAAGTAAAGGTAAGGTCCATTATTAGTATTTTAATATATTTATGGCACTATGATCGCGTCCTAGATACAACTAACACTAGTCCTAGGTCCTAGCGTTTAGAGTATAACATAATCGTAAATAATACACGGACGGAGCTATTCCTGACACATCGATTGATAAACTTTTTTTTGAGTCGGTTAAACAAGGTAATTTAAAAAAAAATTGTACTAACCGTAACAGCGATCACTGGATCTTCGTATTCCGGTATTTGTGTTATGTCACAGTTCTCTTCGGTAAGACCTGGAAATCCTTCCGAAGTATCCGGTTCTTGGCTGTTATTTGCTGAAAAGAGTGTTTCTCTAAAGCAACGGTCAGCAACAGACGGACCGAGAAAGGTCGAAGCTCGACCTCGAATCGATTTTAGATCTTTTTATAATTCAGATATTATTTGATATTGGGGGGAATTACGTAAACAGTAATTATTTACTTTTATACACATATTACCCAGATATTGTCTATGCTTTAAAATAAAATGCATTTTAGAGGATTCCTACTACTGCTAATTAATTAAGAATTTTGAGAGCTTTGCTTACTTCTGACGAGAGGAGGGGTGTACTAAATTGCAGTAAATCTGCGAAAGACTTTAAGTAGAATTTCTCAACCTCCTAATTATGTCCTAGCTAAATAACTCTCGACTAAAACAATACGATATAATGCTACAGGACATCATTTCAAATAAAATTAATAGCAGCTCAGTTCTTGAAAGATTGCACTTCCAAGTTCTTGCCTACCAGACTCGTACTTTGTTTCAAGTTCCTCACATCAACACCAACTATGCAAAAAAACTCAGCTAACGCATCGTTGTATGATTTGACTTTTTCTTAAAATAAATAATCTTTAAAATAATAAAGGAATTTCAGATGAATTTCAACATATTTAAGTAATAATGTTTGCCTTACTATTGTCTGAAATTTCCTTAAGAACTATGTCGTTGATTTTTTCTCCATTTTCCAAAAATACGTAAACGCCCAGGGATTCGGAATTGCTGAAAACAATGTAATTTGTTAAAAAAATTCAGTGAGGCTACATCCTTTTAGGTCTGGGCCTCAGGTTTTTGTATCTGATTCGTAACTATTGGTTTATTCAAAAAGGAAATTAGGTGATCAGCAGTGGCGTAACTATACCATCCGGGGCCCGTGTCAATTTTTTTTGTACTCGGTTTAATTTTAATAAACTTCGAGATTTTCCGCGTACTCAATTACACGTTGTATATGTCGCACTAATGGCCATAGGTCTCCTCTCTTAGGCGAGAGGGAATGGTCTGTAGTCCCCACGCTAGCCCAATGAGTATTGGAGACTTCACATTTAACCATAGAACATAATATCTCTTGGGCTTCTTGGGCCCGTGGTATTTTGCCAGCCCTGCCAACCTATTGTTACGCCACTGGTGATCAGCCTTCTTTGCCTGACACACGATACATTTTTGTTTGGACTGAGTTATCCCGGTTTCCTCACAATGTCTTTCTTCACAGTACGAGCGAGTGTTGATTGCCCCTAATACAGAATTGTTAATTACTCTATTTCATATTTTATTAACCCACTTTCAAAAAGATTATCGGTGTTTATTGCAATTATATATTATTTGAGTAAGATAATCTCCCAAGCACGTGTTTAGGACACGTCATCATTATCATATTTCTCAGTCCGATATATTCTAAGGCAACGGTGGAAATTTCAGAACAAGTTTAGTAGTTTTAGATCTAAGTATTCACGCATTTCAGAAGTGGACATTTAGTTTATATATATATAGTTCTAGTTTAGATTGTAATTCTACCAAATAATCATAAAAGTTAATGCGACAGTTAAAAAACAATTTTAGGTGGTAATAATATATTTCTGTTTCACCAAGGTCATAATATTTCCGTGAAAAGAGTGGTAAAAAAATATTACGTTCTAGACATTCGTCAAAATGTGTCGTCCGTAATTATGTTTAAACAGGAAAACAATCGTAAAACGCTTTTGCTCTTCAGTCTAATTAAATAAGTAAATAACAACAATGTTTAAATCGTCGGAAACGAAGAAAATAGCTTTAATTTAATATATATATTATTTTATATATAATATATATTTGTACTTAGTATCCTAGTAATAATAGCATCTTCTCTTTTATTATTCCTCAATAGAAATGTATTTTGCTTTTACGACTTTGATCCCCGGGGCAAGCGATATAACAATATAACATTCTCGTTTCCGAGAATGCCCTAAAGGTCGACTACACATATTCTTTATAGGTAACAGATGTGTCACTTAGTTTTAAGAACCCCTAAAGTCAATTTACCCCTAATTTTATGTTTGTTATGAGCTTTTGCTTTAAACGTTTAAAGACAGTTGGCATTTAGCTTCTAACAAAGTGCTTCATTTATTTGAACATCTTTTCAATAACCGCCACCGAACTTAAAAATTAAAAATTATTAAAGCCCTATCCCAGCACGAATTGCTGTGTCAGTGTCTCGGGGTGGACTGCGATGCGCAGTGGAGAGTTGTAGCACTGAGGCGCGCCGGCCCGTAATAACAATTAGTTATGTAAAACATTAAATTAATGTAATTTTATCAAATTTTTTTCTGAAATGGATTACTTGGCTTGCGATAAAATATATCGTGTAAATTTCAAAATCATGTTCTATTTACATTTTCGTCATAAAATGAATTTAAAGTTTCAAAAAATTGGCTAAGTTTGGATTTTTTTTAAATCAAGCGAAGTTATTTAAATCGTGTATCGATCTTTCAAAATGGATACATAAACTACTCAACTCCACCATATATTTTTTCCATTCTCCCTCCTTCAAGAAATGATGACGAAAATGGAAAGAAACAATGTATTTTTTTGGAGTTAGGCGACCATATAGGTCCTTAAGACTTACTTATCATCAACGTAGATTGTGCAATTCCTTCCAAGATGCGATTTCATAATTTTTTCAACCTTTCCAACCGCCACTGGATCGTCACAATCTACCTCCACCTGAAATTTTCAGACGTAAAATATAGATTTTTTTATTTGATATTTTAGCTTAAGTTTGGTAAATGTTTAATTTTTCGGTGTTGTAATTTTATTTTTGTTGATTGGTTTATGCACTGATTGTACTTTTTTATTTTTTGACGTGACAACGTCTAATAAATCGATGAACGCCGGCTGCACGCACAAAAAAGGATTACTCGTTGTCCCATTACGCTCCTTGTATGCATGCGCCGCATCTATCTCTCTTCCACTCGAAGACTTAAGTATGATATCATTTCATCAATGTTTTGCTGTGACGAGTTCACGTCAAACTATCGTCCAAAAACAGCCTTTACAAACAATTTTTTTAGTTATTTTTCTGACTAGGGTTGCTAGGAAGAGATCGCTTAGCTATAAGGCCGCGCTTTATGTTACTTGATTAAATGTGTAATGTAAAGAAGTTTAAATAAATAAATATAGAACTGTCACAGTGTTACTAGAATTATTTCAATAGAACAGGGGGCAAACGGGCAGGAGGCTCAACTGTTGTTAAGTGAGCTCACAGACACTCAATGCCAGAGGGCTCGCAAGTGCGTTGCCGGTCTTTTAAGAATTGATACTCTCTTTTCTTGAAGGACCCTAAGCAGAATTGGTTTGGGCAGCTGGTTTCACATAGTGGTGGTGCGCCGCAAAGCAGCTTTAAATAACGCTTAGTTGTGGAACGATAGACGTCGAGGTGATATGGGACTAACTAATTACCAAGCTTTTTCAGTCAATGCATGTCATTTGTCAAAACAACTTCATTTTGTAGAACAATTTGTAATAAATTCAAATATCAATCAAGTGTCAGCTGTCATTTATCAAATATCAGTCATAGATAATCAATCTTTAAGAGTCAAAGTAGTGAAAAAATTATAATTAGCGTACAATTGCCCGAGTGAATTGATTACCACTTTGCTATAAATTTTTTCCATTAGTTCCAAGAAATTGTGCAATATAGAATAACATGACTGTACGGTTCCTGGGTCAACGTGATGTTAAAAATAATGTAAATGCTGCTCTGTCGGGGCGTAACTTCGACGATTTAGGTGATCGCCACGCTTATAAAACTATGAAAGCCTGAGTGAGCAAAATGGACAAACTTGGCTCGTACAATTACTATTTATTTCATACAAACATTCGTGGGACAATAGAATAAATTTTTTTTAAATGTAACCTGTTGAATTCGAGCTAAATAATATTCCACCCTAATAGATTTAACTAACACACAACAGACACACACACAGAGGTAACATAAATTAAGTTCTCTATAATTTATTATATTCTAAATTCGACTTATAAATACGCGTTTCAAAACTTAAAGGCCAGCAACACACTCGCGAGCTGGCAATGTCCTACATGTGTACGTATGACTTAGCTTTAACGATTTAGCCCTATAAACAATTACTTAACTCACCCCAGCGAGATGGCAATATCGGGCAAATGGTGGCAAGCCACAGAATTGACGCATCAGAGGCTGAAGCCAACAGGTCGGTACTAATCTTGTTTCCCCATAGTCTACTAGATGCACTTGGGCATAGCGGATGTCCTCCTGTAAAATTAATACGCACTTATGACCTGATCTTATAGACAAAGTATTAAAATACATACACACGTACATACATTAAAATCCAATATATATTTTTAAATCGATTGACGAATTTTGTTGGTCAGATGTGGCCTTCAATATTATTAAATATTGTTACGAAGACGAGTTGACTGAAACGTTTCGTGATTTTCCACATTTTAGAGACGTTTTCGGCAAGCTTAAATGTGAGTTATGGCCGTTTCAGAAGAGGTTCTATCACATTCTAGAAAATTGTCATTTGCATAAAGTTGCTCTCGTTTTCAGAAAGCTGATAGTTTTTTTCAGGATGTTTCAGAGGAAGTGTAGTTGGTACTTTTATCGAGCGCGTTAGATTTTCTAAGGGGGTGTTAAGTAAACCTAAAAAAAGCTCTCATCTAATAATCTGACGATTTGGATGTGACGCAAACTCACGGTCGTTATTAGAATGTGCAAAAAAATCGACATTTTGACATACTCAAGCGCGTCAGATTAAGATATATATGGTTCATCTCTATCTCCTAGATGAGCTATCTCATAATCTAACGATTATCTGGAGGGATTCGCCTAATCTGACAATAAAAAAAAAATTAAATCATTGAACTTAATTGATTGATAAGCTCTGAAAATAGCTAAAAGTGTATGTTGTTCAAGTAGAACTTGTATTTATTAAATAATAATTTGCTGAAAAATGCTTAAAAATAATAAAAAATAAAAATTAACCGGAAGAATTGGTTTACATCGACGATATTCTAAAATATTTACAAATTTTTCTAATGTTTATATTGTAAATTTTGTTGATTTTTGCGTAAGTAGTTTCACCACAAAATACACAATTTATGTTAATATTATAGGTCGGTTATCGAAAGCTGGCGCGTTCACAGTACTCACACTAATGCAATTTCACTATACAGTATGTTTAAAAATATGACTTTTTTGCCAAGCTATATATTTTAGTCTACTCTGGTGTTAGTAAGGTTGGGTGGATTGTAAATAAATAAAAATGTGTCAAATACATATAAATATTTTGTGCATACGAGGGTGGATCCAAAAGTTCTAAGCCCGACCAAGAACGTAAAAGAGTAGTTTGTGTAAATAATTTTTCATTTTTCGACATAAGCTCCATTGAGCTCAACACACTTCACTCTTACTTCACTAACAATTCTTTCAATACTCCTCTTAGAAACATCAGTCGCATCTGATGTCAAATTAAAAATTAAATTTTTTCATTAAACTGTTTTTATTAAGATGCTTAAAATTATTAAAAACATTGTATACCATTTCACGAGATTGTTCTGGTAATGTTTAGACGGAATATATTTTATAAGACATTTTTTTTCAAAGTATTCTAACCTCCAACCAAATAAGTAAACAATCACAGACAAAATAATAATGAGAAAAAAGATCAACATGTACAGTAAAGATCAACATAAACAGTAGCAAAAGCAAAACAATAACTGTCTCTTTTATACTCATAAGCTTGATCGAGCGCGAGAGAGACGGACAGTCTTTTCATGATGCATATTCAGTTTGACATCGAACCTCGCGCTTATTCACGGACACTACACAAGCACAAAGTGTAAATGTGTTGAAGCCGCCAGCTTTAGATAACATACCAATACTCATAGTTAATATTTTTAAACTAATATAGGCATCACGCAGCCGCACGTATTAAACTTTATCGACGAATTTTTCTGACATCGGCTTGAGGAAATCGTCAGATTATATATTTTTCGTCATCCTTGAATTATTTCCTTCAAAAGAAAAAAAAATAATCAGCCACGCTCGAGAATGTCGAGATGACGTTTTTTTTTACAACTTTGCAGCCCTCCCCTTTCTTTAATGTACTTGCAAATTGTCAGATTAGTGAAATATACACTTCTTAGCATGTAACTAACTTAGCCTACCTTAATGTGATGCGCTCGAGAAAGTCTGATTATTAACTTTTTTTTCACTGATCTGATCCTTTACCCTTCACGGGCGGCCATATATATGGAGCTCATATTTGGTAGAGATACTTAACCGGGTACAAGGTATCTTAAGTATATCCCAGTATATTAATCTGTCACGCTGGAGTAAATCCCGAAATCCCCTCTTGGGCTCCCCAGCTACAGGGATACAAAAGCGGGGCCAAAACGCGACCAATCAATTCTGTTTCGAGTTCGTTTCCGAGACATTTCCATCGAAGAGATAAAGTGCAAATAATGAAGACAAGTGATAAAGTACTGTGTGTAATGCGCTTAATTAAAGTAATTAGTCACCGTATCTTTGTGTGGTAATTAGTATATTTCTAAGCGTAAGTTTTTTCAAATCATTGCAATAATGCTATTGCAATCAAAGTTCCAGCATAAATCTCTGCTCGAACACAATAAATAAATAAGGATACACAATTATACTTCTTCAGTTAAATCTAACTCGTATTAGTTAGATATTTTATAATTAACATGTGTTAAACCTGATCTGCTATTTTCGCTATATAAAACAAAATCAATCTTAAGGCCGATTTACATTATCTTAGTGTTTAGGAGAGTGCTTTAGGATAGTACTTTAGTTGAAACATGTAAACGCTACTTGCTTTCGTACGGTTCTACTTGACTTTCAAGTTGAATCAAAATAGAATCGCTTTTTATTTTTGTTTCAAGTGATACCCCTCCCGCGCCCGCGCAACCCCCGAGATCTTCCCTCGTTGTGTGTAAACACGTAATTTAGTACAATCTTTAGGAGAGTGCACAAGTGCCGTGAAACGCGTGCGTGTTTTTTGATTTTTAAAGATGGCTAAATGATCGGAAGATACAACTATCAAATTTGTGTCTGAATATATTGTTCACGAATGATTGTGGAACGTTAAAAACAATTTATACAAAAACAAACAGGCTAGGCATTCGGCATACACTGCCTTAAAAGAAGCTATTTTATTTATTATTCATATTTAGTTTATTTATTTCGAATAAAATCTCTCTTCTATTTCCAAACTACAGTTGATTTGCGAGAATAGAGCGTATTTGCCGACGTCGTTGCGCGTTCATTGTGGCGCTGTAATGACTAATGATACTCTACTGGAAGAAATGTAAACGTTCACTCGCAACGCACTAAAGCACTAAAGAACTTGCCTTTCAACTTGTACTAAAATACTCTCCTAAACACTAAGATAATGTAAATCGGCCCTTAAAGATCCGACAACGGACTTGCGAGTCTCCTGGCAACGTGTGTCCATGGGCAGTAGTATAACTTCTTTCTCTCACTATTACTGTCCTATAAAAAATAACATACTTCACTGAGTTGTATGTAGAGTCCTCTGGTATATGAATTGGTTTCCTCATACACGGCACAACATGACAAAGGTACCATTTGGTCAAGTGAAAATTGTACCTTGTGCTGCTTATAGTACTCTGTCATGTCTGTCATTAATCTGAAAGATTTTTTTATTATTTTTGGCAAAAATTTTGTATGTAGTTGACATAGAAACAAAAACGAGTAACATATCTAGAACTAAAATATCAAGGAATTAAAGTGCCCTCAAAGTCTCTCATTCTCGCTTTCTATCATACCACTACCCATAGATTTATCACACCAGATGTTGTGATCAGTTGCTCCTATACTTACTTAAATGCTTCATCAATATTTTCAGTAGTCACCCAAAATGATGTTCCATCAACATGTAATAATACAGCGGGGTATTCAAAATCCAATTGTAACACTGTTTGTGCAGGCAATATCACATTTTCACCTGAAAATATAAATTTAATCTTATCGTCACAAAGTATGCAGATAAAAACCGGTGCTATCCATTGGAGCATGGAATAAAAGTTCAGTTCCTTACAATGAGGAAAACGGAGACAAAACAACAACACCAATTAATCAGGCATATGTAAAACCAAATACTTCCCCCAAGCCAGGTGGTGGTCACTGTGGCCTCCAACTTTAGATACAAAGCATAAAGAAATATACCAAAATCAACCAAAAGAAGGTAACTTTAAACCCATCATCCTAAAAGAAAACACTAAATAGAAATATAACTCAAAGCAACAATTTAAGTCAAAACCATGGAGAGCCTATGTTTAATTCTACACTTAACACAGGAACATTGAGAAAAAAAAGCATTGGAAGCCACAAGAAACACAGAAATAAGAGAAATTGTTTAATTTAATAATACTTCATACTGCAATTTCTTAAGTCATATTTTCTATTTTCTCTAAATAAAGGGTATCTTTATTTAGTTTATATTAAATATATATTTAGAACCTTCAAATTTATTTAATATGTTCATAAATAATTTTGAGTGTTTGTAGTAAGGACTTGTCCACCATATACTCCATAAATAAAATACTAAGATAATGATAAATTAAACTTTTAAGCAGATTCAAAATGCTATATATAAACAATATTTTCCTTACCTTCAAAGGTAATATTTTTTACACCTTCGGTAATAGTCTGACTATCACATTGTTTTTGTTCAGATGATATTATTTCTTCCAAAGACTCAGTAGAAAACGAAATTAAAAGCTGGTCTTTTGGTATGTTTTTTTTCTTTGACCAGTCTTGAGGATTTAAACAAGTTTTTGAAGTTGATGGCACAGGTTCAGACAATGTATCTGTTATATTGAATGGTGAGATTGATGGACGTAACAAGGAGGTATTTACCAAACCAAAACCTGGACGTGCAGCCCGATTGGTGGGATTAACTAAAAATATTACTTGTTTTTAAGTAGCTATTAAAATATAATTAAAATATCGTGTAGTATTATTAAATTAATGACATTAATGATATTGGTAAAAGGTCTCTTTAGTGCTTGATCAAAGATCACTTTTACTACTGTTGGTATTTACTTCAGATTTCTGTACCAATTTCCTTAAACATCTTCAGGCAAGTAGATGATCAGTTATATCTCTGTGTGGAGGCACAAAAGTTTTTGGGTCGTACGCTTCTGATTTCAACACAATGTTAACCTTCATTAATGGTATGTATAGAAATTGAGCTTAATAAATTAATGTTTTATCATTAATGAAATGACGTTTTAGTTTTCCACACAGCCTTTATCTTTACAGCGGTTGATTTAATATACTGAATATAGAATTTAAAAAATGTGAAATACAAACTTTTACTTACCTAATTCTTCTACAGCTATATTAATATCATTTATTAAATATGAATATTCTTCTAATGTCTTAACACTATTTAAAAAACGATCTTTCAGCTCCATGTGATCACAATTTAGTTGTGTAATTAATCTTTGAGCCTAGAATAGGATATAATAGTTAAATATTAGTATGGTACTTAAAATAAATTTTTAATGTTTTACAAGACATACCCGTTTTTTTAAATATTCCAAATTCCTAATGGTGTTGTCACATTTTGTTGTAAACATGTGAATTCTATCTTCCATTTCTTGTCGTTTATGGTCTGCTAAGGTTGCGAGATTTACGTAACTCCTAAAATATAAGTTAATAAGAGGGTACTTTCTTAGATTTAATATTTATAAAATATTACACTTGGCCATTACTATATACTTTTAATTATAAAATATTACAATAGCAATTTACTTACATGGCGTTTAGTTAAAAGACCAAGCACATCAAAATTGGCTTTATTTCTACAAAGAACCACTGGGTGCCTAACGCGCATTTATAAAAATAAAACAGTAGTAAGGATTTACTTCTGCGGTTTATACTTTACAAAAAAACTTATTTTTATTGTGGTCATGTCACATTTCACAATCACATTAAAAGGAATGTCGTTTTTCATATCTGTATATAATCTGTGTTCAGTAAAAACAAAATCTTTTTGAATTTGTAATAAATGTAATTTCGCTAAAATCTGTGGACCTTATGTTTAACTAAACTATCTCACGTTAGATGTCACTAAACACAGCATTCCAAAACCTTTCAGATTCTACTCTATAGAAGATGGCGGGAGTAGTGGTTTGATGTGGAGGTTTAACAATTTCAATCTATAACATTATACTCATAAGTCATAATCTTAATAATAAAACAAACAGTATGAAAGTGTTCAATAATTTAAAAATATTTCGTACTCGCGCGTTATAATTACCTACTAATGGGAATAAAAGAGATTTTGAATGATTATGAAACACATTAATAAGCAAAGTATATTATAATGCTATTTTCTCAAAGATCTTTTAACCTCTGACTTTAAAAGTATACTTCATGATTAAGGATACTGAGAAGGAAATGCATTATTTTTAATTGCAAACTTGTGGTTATAAAACAATATCAGACATAATTTATCCTTTTATTCATTCTCCAATCTGAAAATAAATTACACTCTAAGAGTTTTGTAAAATAAAACTTTATAACATTCACTCATTCTATCTATTTATATCTATTATATCTTCGCCTCTAATTTTTAATATAAGATGGGCTACAAGTATACATAATGTTATTATAATTGTATATCAAAATTCATAACATAGTCATCCATATTCACATGTTTCAACCATTTAAAAAAAAAGCTGCGAGCGTTGTTTTACAATCGTTTTGTTGTAGGTAACTAAAGGCTAATTTAAAAAGTAAAGACCTCTATAGAAAGTCTATTTGAAATGAAACGAGTTCACTGAAGTCACTAATGTAATATTAACTAATTAAAATAAACACCAAAAAGGTTTAGATAGTAGAAATGACCAGTTGTTCTTGTAATGTAGGAAAAGCAAACAACACATGCTTAATATAGTAATTTGACGATCTCGCAGAAGTGGAGATATTGTCGTAATTTAGCATAGTAACTAGCGATGTAGTGAACTATAACTTGTATCAATAAAAGCTATTAGCATCGATCAGTCTAAGTATCTGTCCCGGGGTATTATGGCAAATTAAGTTAAATGTAGTGGTATCCCGTTTTGTGAACGCAGTTATGGTACAAACAGTGGGTTAGGTTTTCTTTCCTCGTAACTCAGAATATCAACCGTATAGACAATGTTTACATGTGAGTTGATACAAAGTTACTTTTCGACAGGTCTACGTCTAAGTTTGTGACAGTGACATCTGAAGCACTGAAACTTTTTGTCATTCAACTTCATATTCTTTTGTTTTCAACTGTTTGGGGGAAAAGCAGACATTTCTGTGACGGTTTCATTGCCCGTAAAGGCAAGTAGGCGATGACAACTTCCATGTCTGCTAAACCGTATCAATTGCTGTTTTAAGTAACGAACCAGCATCGCCATGGCATACGCGAAGTGTGGTGAGTTGCAGAGGCGCAACTCTCGAGTCAGAATAAGTAAAGTAGTAGTAAGTAGTAAATAGATTTAAAAATAACATTCATACATATATTTATTTTACCAAAAGCTATAGTAAAATTACGCTTTTAAGTTAAAAAATGACACGAACACATTTTATTAACTTACTAGGTATTAGGAAGAAAAGTATGTGTTAATTGCTAAAATGTAAAATTTCTAAGCTAAGTTTATGAATTGAATTGATAAATGACAATAGAAGTTTAATTATCAAACTTCTACCATAGCGAAAAAGTTAATGTAAATCTATTAAATATATATTTCTAGTCTACCTACTTTCCCATAGTCTGTGGTAAACGCGGGAATAGATGCCGCAAGCGCGGACTTGAGTTGAAATGACGTTATTACTCGGCTGTACCACACGAATACTTGTCAGAAATAATTGTGGAAATAACTTCGATACGTATTGGTTAACTGTTTGTACTTGCCGTAATGCGCCAGTAATGGTGGTAATGGTATGAAATCGACATTAATTGTATGCTATTTCACACCATCGCAGTTGCTTTAAGGTAAATCTCTTTATTATAATTCCAATGCAATGTAAGTTTATTAAGTATATTTGTTCTTTTCGTTGCATCTACATATATTAATTTTCTTACAAAGTGTAATATGTTAATTTAAGCGTGCGATAATCAACCCACTTTAGATGAAATTCAGACGTAAGTCAAAAACAGTAGAGTTAGACTTAAGTACGTAATAGTTCGCGATATAAGTCTCGTGACTGAATCTCACATTCAGGAACTTCGCGCTATTCGGTTTCTGTGCCGTACAGTGTAAGAAGGAAATCACCGATCACTTACCTATAAAATATGCCTAATAAAACATACCGAATTGTAAGGCCAAGAACCATAAAGACAAGCAACACTGGATTATTATAAATTTATATTACAACAGTGAGCAGTGAGCGACTCTCAGCCCTGAGGTCGTGGTTTCGATCCCTGGCTGTGTACCAATGGACTTTCTTTCTATGTGCACATCTAACAATCGCTCGAATGAGAAGGAAAACATCGTGAGGAAACCCGCTCGCCTGAGACCCAAAAAGTTGGCGTGTGTCAGGCACAGGAGGCTGATCATTTGCCTAATAGATTGACAAATGACCATGAAGTAGATACAGAAATCTGAGGCCCAGACCTAAAAAGGTTTTATTTTTTTATATTACAACAGAGTATGACATCCGTATACAACATAACTTTCAAAAATTTTCGGCGTTGAAATCTAACGCTAAAATACACTGAACTCTCAGTTAATTAACTATCATTCCTAGAGAACTAATTCTAAGCCTAATTACAATTACACTTGGAAATAGGAATTGTAGCGCCCGCGTCGGCAGCGGAGGCGTTAATACGCCCGTGCCGGAGTGTTCACTGTTATGGTTTAGATACTGGAACGAGTAAAAGATTGTATTCCAAGTGTTGTAAAAATAAATTTTTGGAAATCCGGACGGTCTGCAGTATAGAAGAGTATTGAAAGATTTGGTATTAATAATGGAGAAGGAATCAAACTGAACATTACAGAAGGATATAAATGGAATACTATTGTACTTATTTACTATCTGATATAAATAAATATATCTATTCTAAATTATAGAATACATCTTTAAGAACAACTAAGGTCGCAGATGTTACAATAATAATAAATGCTCTTAAGTGGGAATGGATGGGGCACACAGCAAGAGGAACAGAAAAGTGGAGCAAGAAAGTACTAAACTGGTGCCCAAGGTACAATAAACGAAGAAGAGGAAGACAACTTAGAAGGTGGCAGAGAGTGGCACAGTGCAGAGAGGAATGGCGGGATTTGGAGGAGGTCTTTGCCAAAAACGGCCACATAGATAGGTACCTAAAAAGAATGAGGTAATAAATTATAATTGTGTTTAAGTGTAAAAGTATCTGACTAAAAGGCTATTATTTTTATTATTATAAATAAATATATACAAGTCATTCATTTCACTTAATGTAATTTACATGATTGTAATAGTGTTATTAGAAATACTCTATCTTGTGTGTGTGAGGTCCTTTAATATTTTATAAAATAGGCTATAATATATATAAAAAAATGTTTAAAATGTCTTTATTTAACATCGATAGGTTAATAAATTTAAAAAATACAGAAAACAGAAAGAATAATAATATATTTTCTAGTCAATTCAAAATACGTCCTATCATATTATGTTACTCATATATTTTATAATGTGATAATTGTGAAATATTGATACTTAAAGTTAAGATATATAGATGAAGATCTGGCCTCAGATTTCTGATTCGGTTTAATGATAATTTGACAATCTAATAGGGAAGTATCCTAACATACGCCGCGGCCGTCGATTTTTTGGGTCTAAGACATGTCGGTTTCCTCACGACGTTTTCCTACGCCGTTCAAGCGAATGTTAAATGCGCACATAGAAAGAAACTCCATTGGTACACAGCCGGGGATCGAATCTACGACCTCAGGGATGACAGTCGCATGATGTAGCCACTAAGCCAACATTGCTGATTCTCAGTAAGAGAACAGTAATATACCTACATTTAAATTAGATTGGTTTGATATTTACATTTTAAAACGCAAACAAACAATAAACGATGATGTCTGACAGCGCTTACCCTCATTCCTTTCTCCTTCTGAAGAGGTCTTTGCCAAAAAAGACACACACAGTTGGAAAAATAATGATATCATGGAAATATGTTTAAGCGTAAAAATATCTAAAATATAAGGTTATTATACCTACTTACTAAATACATGAAAACATATTTATGGTTGGTATGGACTAGTAACTAGCGCCAGTAACTATTCCATACCAACGTACCACCGTCGGCGCGAACTCTATAATTATTAAGAACATCCAGCTGTTTTGCCCGTAGCCCATAATTAAAACATAGTTAGACCCAGTTCAGATTAATGTCTTAATAGAAATGTAACAGTTGATTACCTTAATGGGAATAGGTTATTATCGCGTTTTTACCTGATGTATGATGGATAACGTCATTTGTATGTCTGTTTTGATTACATCCTCTTGTGTAACGGTTCGTTGGTGTGTAATTTACATTGTTAGTGTTAAACGTGGCTTAATGTTTAGATTTTTCGGGTGATTTAGAACATTTTGATAGCCGGAGGTGTCACTTAAATGAGATTCTAGTTTTGTTTATCTTTTGTAGAATAGAAAAATAAATGCTGATTGGTTGTACTATTCATTAATAATTTTGATATTTGAGGAGTCTACAGCGGGAGACTCTCATCCCAGGTTCGATGGTTGTGCATCAATGGACTATTTGTCTATGTGTCCTGTCAGGTGTCACATTCGTCCCAACGGTGAAGGAAAACATCGTCAGGAAACCGGCACCCAAAAAGTCGACGGCGTGTTTCATAGGAGGCTGATCACCTACTTGCCTATTAGATTGAAAAATTACGCATGAAGCGGATACAGAAATCTGTGGCCCAGACCTAAAAAGTTTGTAGCGACACTGTTATGTTATTCATTATCAATGTTTAAACATGTATCAGAGTGTTCTGTGATTTGTAAGTCTTGATATTACGAAATAAAAAACAAAAGAAGTGTTAAAATACAGAAGCCATTTTTTAATGTTGGTAGCATAGCCATCGTTAACATTTTGAGTGTACATAGACAATGAATTATAAAACAATCCGCCATAAGTAACCATAGACAGCAAGTGTTAACAACTTGTAAAGCTAAACAATGGGTATGGAGGCTTTATGCATCTCGCAGAAGCAAAGTTTAAACCTGTCTCCCTTTTTTAGGGCTACCAATCTGGTCACCGCTAAAATAGGCATAATATCTAAAATAGAATAAAATGAGCAAGTATTGCTGATTATCAAATAAATTATATTTTTTAATGAATATCATTACTAGTCGCGTACATAAATTAGATCTTTAAGTATTTTAAAAAGGAAACTACACCGGAAACACAATAAAAACAATGAATAGAATGACACAACGAGCCCACTTTCACACATAGTAAGCAAATTGGATCGGGAGAAATATAAAATTGTTCCATGGCAACCCTATTCTCTGTGACATGTTTTATGCGTGTTGCAATGACATGTTAATACATCCTTTTGTGGCTGAACGCCCGCCCCGTCTGCGTTCGGCGGGAAAACTTGTCTTTACGATTTTATAGTCTGTGCCGATGCGACTTTAAGAAACCTCTTTGTAATACGATATTTATGGGTGTAAATGTTTAAAATCATGTAATTATTTGCCATGATAATTAAAAATAGAAAGACGTAAATAACAATTCCGTGGACATTCCTCGCTGTTTGGGAAGCATAGGATCTGTAGTGTAGATCCTCCCATGCCAGACAATTCCGAATCAGTATAAAATAAAAAAAGAAATCAGTGGCGCTACAACCTCTTTAGGTCTTGGCCTCAGATTTCTGAATCTGTTTCATGACCATTTTTGAAGTTTCTTAGGCGCGTTATGAAAAATTGATGAGAGAAATTTTACGATGCGCGCGCACCGTGACACAAAATTAACAGAATGAAGTTGCCCACGGAAGATGCTACGGCATTCGACATAATTTAAAAACAACATTCGAATAATAATAGAATTTATGTTACACTTAATGTAAGAGAATAATAATAAATATTTATTTATTAAATTTTTCAAATGTAAACTGAACTTTATTGACTATAATGACTCCTTTTCCAGTCTTTGATTATTTAATTGTAATTAATTATTTGCATGCAATCAAAAACTATTTTTAATAATGCCAAAGAAGTATAACTTCTTACGCGCGTACATAAGTACACGCACCCTTTTTTTTAAATCTAATAGGAAATTAGGTGATCAGCCTTCAGTGCCTGACACACGCCGTCGACTTTTTGGGTCTAAGACATGTCAGTTTCCTCACGATGTTTTCCTTCACCGTTCGAGAAAATGTTAAATCGAACCAACAACCTCAGTTTTGAGAGTCACAAGCTGAAGACACTAGGCCAACACTGCTCCGAATCAGTATGCCATTGGAAAAAGTCCTCATTTGTGTTGTGTGACGGATTATGTAACTATTACTAGGAATATTGGCAGCAATAAATGTTTACTTTTGTAAATACTTAAAAAAAATTCTAATGAAATCCGTTTTTATTAATGGCGGCTCCTGCTCAATTCTAGTATGTATTAAAAGAAGAGCGAATTGGAGCCCATGGAGCGAATGGAGTTGTGTCGACACTCATATCCGCAATATTTTACGCACAAATTGATATTCAATTAATACATTTATATTTACTGAAATTAAAAAAAACCGTTATAACCTACTTTCTGGACTGCGCACGATTTTTTCTATTCCCGCGTATTGTCCTACCTCTTCTGTCCATAAAGTCAATATTAATATCCGACCTTCATTGAGAAAACAATTGATATCTTTTAAAGCATCCAAACAAAGCATTGGCATATCTTTGTGTCGTTTTAAACAAATCGTCGGCCATCATCGCTTGACAATCGTGTAGAAATAATATGGGAAAGTCTTTGAGGAGCCATCTCTGAGAAATTTGATGTCATGTAGCTAGCTAATACTCGATTATTTAGTAAAACATGTGAATAGGCCTATTAACATCACACCTAGGAACGGGAACACCTTAAATGAACCACCTATTTCAATTAATCGTATCGTATTTTGGTCAATGCGAAGGGGCGACGAGAACCTAGAGAACCTCGTCGTGATTATCAAAACCGGAGACAAAAGATCGCGTGGAGGTTCGCCGACGTGATGGCGTTCGACCGAAATTGGCAAAGGAAAGTTATTCGCGCCAGATCTTGCTGACCACAATGGTCAGACATGAGTTACTGACTCAGAGGGACAGATTAACTAAGGTTTAGTATTTATAAGTTACATGCCTTTTATATCCAAAGACGTAAATGATTAAATTCCGCAGGGACATTTCTCTTTGTTTGGGAATCCCTGCTTAGGACCTGTAGGATGGATAATAAAAAGATGAGTCTCCGATTCTTATAATCTACTACGCTATCAGTACAGTGACTTTACGAACATTGATATAGACATACATATTATAGCTACTTACTTATATTAGTAATTTGAAATAAATATTATATTACAAATATATTTAGCCTTTTGATCATAGGCTGCTTACGACACTAAGACCTTAATTACCGAGCAAAGAGAGAGATATATCACACATTGCAAAATGTATAAAGTATTGCAGAATATAAAAAAAAAACTTGCATCGTAATCTGCTTTCTACCTTGGTTTGGAAAACCAATTATAATTAGCCAAACACCAAATCTTGTACTATATCTAATGAATTGTATTACAGATGATAATTCATTCTTAGCAACTCCATTTATTAGCTATGAACGAATGACCGAGTGAGTGATTTCGTTCTCACGAAAGCGGTCCTCTTTGATTCAACTTTAATGACACCTTCGCGTGAATGAAATTGATTTGACGTCTCTGTTTCGAGTTTTCTCAGTTTAAATGACGTTTTTCGAATTTATACATTGACTTAAATTACACGTGATACCGCGAAACTTGACATTACGGCGAGTTAACACAAAGCCATCATGCCATATTTATTCTGGTATTTCAATCTCAAAATTATTATCTTACTGTAGCGGTAAATGTTATGAATAATATTTATTTTAAAATTGAATTTTGGTAATTTTTCCAGATATGTATGGAGAAAGGATGATTCTGTTCCTCCAAATAACCACTGTATATCCTTAGCCATCGGAAAAACTTCGTTAGCGCGTGTGACGTCATTGTAGTTATTTGTGTGAATAGTTGTAGGTGTCGCTATAAATGTATGCAAAATAGCTGTGTCGGTTTGACTATGCATCAATGGATTCTTTTCATAAACGCCATTACTTTCTCGTAAATAAATATATTATATAAGCATAAATTTGTGATAAATTGAGAGGTAGAAAGAAGGCCGATAAAGTCTTAAAAAAAAAACAATGAAATAGGTGCATATATGTCTCCTCCGTGCTCCATGAGAGAAATGAGTTTTGACCATTATTTACACTATTTTAAACAACGATTTTTAAAAGAACAATATAAGCTGATTGTGACTTTTGAATAAATATTACTTACATAAAATTACAAAATATAATCATCACGTTTTAATAGGAACTTTCTATTGAAATTTATATAAACGTTTATCAAGTCACGTGTACGTTAATAATCTAATAAATAAAAAGAAATCTCATTACAAGCAGTAATCAATTTCCAAACATCATTTAGTAAACCTTATTATGTTTTTATTTCTATAGTTGATGGAAAGAGCTATCATTAGTGGTGGTATGTAAATGACTCAATCTCGGCAGCTGACTAGGTAATTAGATCGTGCAGGCGTCAAGTTGTTAAAACTACATTAGCTGACAATTTATTTGATAGTGATCGCGAGATCTTTTGTCATTTGTTTTCAATGGCTATGTTCTATGTGAGACTAATAATTAAGTAGCTTCAAGGAAATTTTCAGAGTGGATGAATGGGAATCTTTATATGTATGTCGAAGATTCGAAGCGATTAATATTAGCCAGATTATCACCATGGTCGTCCGAGATTTGGATTTTATTTTAATATAAGTCAGTGCGCATGTCCGACGCCGATCAGAGAGCAACTCAACTGAACGATCTATCCAACGCTCTACTGAAAAATTGACATTGACACATTGACAATTTAAAAAAAATAAAAAAAAATCAGTGGCGTAACGACCTTTTTATGTCTGGGCCTCAGATTTGTGTATCTGTATCTGTTTTATGATCATTTGTTAATCTAATAGGCAAGTAGGTGATCAGCCTCCTGTGCCTGACGCACGCCGTCGACTTTTTGGGACTAAGGTATGCCGGTTTCCTCACGATGTTTACCTTCACCGTTCGTACAAATGTTAAATGC